CAGATAACGGAACGCAGGTCGCCGGTTCAAAGTTGAAAGATTGGTGTGAAGTGCTTGCACATCCAGCATTTTTTTACCTCAGTATATAATCCGCAGGCTAATGGACAAACTGAGGTGACCAATCGTACTATACTGCAACATTTGAAGACTCGACTTGGAAATGCAAAAGGGAGGTGGGTAGAAGAACTTCATAATGTGCTTTGGGCATACCGTACCACTCCCAGATCTGCAACTGGTGAGTCACCTTTTTCTTTAGCGTATGGAACCGAGGCATTCGTCCCGGTCGAGATTGGAGAACCTTCTTGGAGAGCAAGATACTACGAAGTGCAGAATAACGAGGTGGCTATGAGAGTCAATTTAGACCTTCTTGGTGAATTAAGAGAGGGTGCAACAGCTCGAATTCAGAATTATAAGGTTCGCATGGCCCGTGCTTACAACGCCAGGGTACGATCACGTACGTTTCAAGTTGGCGACTTAGTAGTGCGCAGAGCTGACCTTTCACGGCCTATTGGCAAGTTAGATGCAAAATGGGAAGGACCCTACAAAATAGTGGAAATAGCCAATCCTAGTGCATATCGTCTACAACATCTTGACGGGCGGATGATTCCTCGCACTTGGAACATTATCAATTTGAAGCGTTTCTTTCCATAGATTTGGAAGTTTTTACTATGTACAGTTTTATGTTGAGGACTTTCTTTTTTTCTTTTTTATGCATTTTTCTTTCGCTTGATGTAAGAAGGGGTACTCTTTTCCTTGTTTTGGCCAACAAGGTTTTTAATGAGGCCCCTATGCTCGTTCCATGTCTTAATGCAACAGACATCTTTTTTCGGCCAACGATTTTGTGTGAACTGTTTTCTTTTGAGCTGTCTCGACACTTAAGATGACATATCTACATCACCTTACAACACTTCTGAATCATGATTTGTTCGCCACCTAAAAGGTTATCCTAGGTGGTTCAAGAACATTAACAAGGAATTCAAAAACTCAACCTAATACAAGGAGTGACACTTCACTCGATAATGGGTTCAAGAGTTTTCCTTGATTAGAGAGACTGATCACCTCTCTAATAAACATAAAAGTACAAAACAAGCAATTTTCGAGAGTTAAAGAATTCCGAGGTGTGATACAATTTGGAGTCATCAAAACTTTAGTCAAAAGGAATAAAGTTTCAACAATCAGCGAAGGAAATGGCAATTCAAAGAAATCAAGATGTTCAACAACTGGAAGTAAATTTAAAATGCGACTACTCTACGAAATACGAATGTATTTCCTAATGCTAAAAAGCAATCTAAAATAAAGGAAAAATAAAAGCTATACTACGGCCTCTTTTTTTTCTACATCCGCATCCTTAGGAGGCGAGTTATCCTTCAAGACCATCGTAGCATCAACTGGTGGCTCTATCGCAGTCGACTCCTCAAAAGGGATCACCTTAGTACTTGGTACTATACTCGGTTCTGAAATATCTTGCCCGAGTAGGTTAATGACATCTTCGGACACTCGACCAGTCTCCCTCAACTGGCGTTGGCACATAAGAACCACCTCATCGTACAAGTCAACAGAAGCTAGAGTGGCATCTCGTGCAAATTCCTCCTTATGGTACCTTTCCAGCTCTTGTTTTCTTATTTGTTCCAGGAACTTCTTGCCTTTATCAGATGCCAAGAAAAAGGCGCCGGTTTGTTTCTCTTCAAAATACTTCTCCGTCATACTCTTTAAAGCCGCCATTGTTTTGTCTTGTGCTTCCTTGACGATCTTCATCTCAGCAGCAATCATCTCTGCACGAGCATCACTCTCGACCTTTGCCTTTACGGCCTTTTCTTCTGAATCTTTTATAACATCAACCGCCCTCTTGTAGTCTTCAAGACGCTTGCGAAGACCGGTCCAACCAGTGACAACCTGCGAATTCATATATCAAATACATTCAGCAAGAAAACGTCATATTATGACCATACGGCTAATAAGTATAAAGCAGTTTACCCGGGCAATGTCGCTCCCCATGAAATCAGCCGCATCTAGATCGGAAAAAGCACCTAGTCGTTTCATGTCCAAGTCTGAAATGGCACCTCGAATAAGTTTACATCCTGCGCGAGGATTCTCCACATCCCACAGGGAACCGCTCATGTCAGAGTCAACGACGGAACTAACAAAAAGAAGACCTTTACCAACAGAAATACCAGAAGACGAGCTTCCGTCATCCTTTTTCTGCTTTGATGCGTTAGTACGTGTAAGTTCGTGGGATTTCTTTGTGAAAGGAATGCGGGGTGCGCCTCGCCTAACATCACGAGCTGCATCGGCCCGATCAGGCGAAGATGACCTTTTTCTTTTCCCCGCAACATCACCCGACGGCACGCTCGAGGAATTAGGCAGATCATTAGCTCGAGCCGTCACACCACAAGAAGACTTCAATCGACGAATCTCCTCAGCCGACACCTTAACTGTAGAAAATACTGTACACTCAGTAGCTCGAAGAATAAAGCAAGTATAATATAGTCACGCAAGAAAGACAGTTGAAACAAAGTGAATAGTAAATAATCTACCACCAAGTGCTATCTCCTTAGCATTTAAGGATAACTTAAATAATCCTGCCTTTTTTAATTGTTTCCAGGTCGAACCTCGTGAACCAGTGCTGCCCTCAAGCACATTCGTCGACCCCCATACTGAAGATATGTCCCACCCGTCATCTTTCATAAAGAAGAAATCACCAGCCCAAGGACCCCGTGATCGACTACCACCTAACAGAAATTTGGAGTGTGACCTTGCCTTAAAATAAAATGAGCCCTTCATAGCACCTTTTTTTATCATGAATGACGCGTGAAACGCGTCTACAGAAATCGGTTGTCCCACTTGCCGCATCGCCTCGATGAAACCGGCAAAGATTGTAAACGTGTTAGGGTAAAATTGACTTATGCTAAGTCCCGTTACCTTAACCAATTCATTCACCACGGGCAAAGTAGACGGTTTAAAACCACACTTGAACCAATCTGAATAAACGGTAAAAAAACCAATCGGCGGCGCACGCATTCTATCTCCTGCTTCTGGGAACTGGCATAGTTTCCCGAACGGGCCTAAGGAAGCGACTATGGAGTTAAAGCGTCGTATTCTCAACATCGACGCACATGTGAACGAATCTATATCTTTTAAATAAGTTTTCGTTTTTTTCTTACGTGCAGCAGGCGTGCAAACCTCGATCAGCAACTTTGAATCCGAACATGAAGAAACTTCACTAGATGATGAATCCTGAAGCGCTGATGTTCCACTTAACAAATTTGAGTCGCCGCTAACTGTCGTCTGTTGATCTCCTCCTTGAGGGTGTATTACAAGTTTGAGGCGGCGACCTTCATATTCTACAGTCTCTGGCACCTCCGACGAACTGCCTTGATGATGAAGATTCTCGGAAATCAATTTTGATTTTCGATTACTATCAATTTCGAATGGTCGAGGCGGGCTACCTAAATCGCCGCTATCCAGGTCCCCTATGACGTCTATGCCAAGCTCTTCGACATCTGACTCACCAATTATGTCGACATTAAAGTTTCCTAACATGTCCTTTTCTAGTTCAATGTAATCAAGGTTGTCGAAGGGTATCGGTCCGGTATCGACATTTCCCGCACCTACACGCGAGCCGTCGTGGTTATTCGAGATGACTAAATTTTGCGACACCTCTAAGCCGTTAGGATTCGAACAACCCGGGCTTCGCGCTAAGTTGACGACCCGCCTCGAGTTTTCACCAACTCCAACAAAGTTGCTACCGTCGCTATTTGACCCGATATTACATAAATCGACCATGTCAGAACTAAGACGTTCCAAAAAACAAAAAAAAAAAAAAAAAAAAAATTTAAGACTGGTTTGGTTAGGGTTGGCGTTTCACGCAGTGAGGCGGCTCAAAGGAGGGATACTTGCACAAGGGGTCAACTTGGAACATGTGATTATAATTGTTATTTAGCAATAAATAAAAAAAAAAAAAAAAAAAAAAAGAGAGAGGGGAAAAGAGAGAGTATATAATGACCTAATACATGTATATACCTCTCGGGGCCATAAGTCTGACTTTGGCTTGGATATCACAAGGTCCCACCAATTCTTTTTCTTTCTTAATTATTTTATTTTTCTTCCTTGCAGCAAAGCAAATCGACGAAATAATTCTATACTCTCAACCGAGTTTCAATTCTTGATATTCGATTGAGAGTGGGGGGCTTATGATGTGCATGGGCCAAAAATATGATGAGGCCCAAAAATTATAACTATAATGTTTGGGCCCAATTATCAATTAAAAGCCCAAGATTACATTCCAGGCCCATAGTAAGATTCCGTATATAAATGCTTTACGTTTATTGAGAAAAGGTAATTTGGCTATTCGAGAGACATTAGAATATTTTCTTCTCATATTTTTCTCTGATATTCTTCTCTTGGAATCTGGACTGACTTAAGCATCGGAGGGTTTTCGCCGGAACCAAGCTCCGGCTACCCTATACGCTGATAACACACCCCAAGGGTTAGACATCCCATCCCAAAGGCTGGGTATCCCCTCACCTCTCTACATCAATTTCAGCGTATAATCGCGGAAGCTTCAACTTGTGCTACCACTGAAGCAGTGGCACCATACATCGTCATAGCAGGAGCCAACGCTCCTCCTCGTGAGGCCCCACTGAGTCCTCAACATGATCAATTTCTACTTACTTCTCGAACGGTTCAGATAACCGAAGAAGACCTTCAGCGTATGATCACGGAAGATTCAACTCGTGCTGCCACTGAATCGGTGGCACCATATATCGCCAAGGTTGGGCATCTCACCCCAGTGGTTCGTGATCCCTTCATCCTAAATGGGGGGCTATCCCATCCTAAAGTTGGGCATCTCACCCCAGTGGTTCGTGATCCCTTCATCCTCAATGGGGGGCTATCCCATCCTAAAGTTGGGTATCTCATCTCAAGGGTGGTACATCCACTTACCTTTCAACCCCAAGGGGTTTCACATCCCATCAAGTGTTTCACGTCCCTACTTCAAAAAACAGAAAAAATGGTCTGACGCGCACGCGCGAACCAATGGCACAACCGTGCACATCCACCTCAGACCATAGGTCTCGAGCGCCTCATCCTACAGTGGAGTTATCCCCATCCTAAGGTTGGGCATCACCCTTACCTTTCAACCTCAAGTGGGTTCACATCACATCTCAAGAGACGAGTATAATCTCCCTACTCAAAAAGTAGAACATCCCCAAGGGGGTGCACATCCCATCTCAAGGAACGAGGATAATCTCCCTACTCAAAAAATAAAACCCCAAGGGGGTTCACATCACATCGCAAGAGACGAGGATAATCTTCCTACTCAAAAAATAGAACATCCCCAAGGGGGTGAATATCAACCACCAAAAAATAGAAGAAAAAAGAAGAAGACGAAAAAAGAGAAGATGAAAAAAGAGAAGAAGATA